AGCTAGCTAAGATCACTTGGACCCCTCCTCAAGGCATAAGAAGAAAATGCTCTCTCCTCTTCATTAGGGAAATTTATGTACAAGTAGTGTAAGTAGCTCAATTTAATGATTGCCATTATTTTTGTTGTAAATCAGGCTTATATAATTAATACATGTGTAAGTGAGATGCCACTATGACTTGTTTGATCCATATTTGCAAACATTTTTATACTAAAGCTATTACAGTATCAGGATGCACATGTTTTAAATAAACTTTTTTTTCATTTTTATGATGTTGACTTTAATTTTGGCAATATATTTACTTTTAGTCATAAATCTCTGAAGTAACTTTATTTTAATACATTTAAAATCTCAAGGAACCATTTCCTTTATATTGTCAAATTTCTGGGCACAGAGATTCTTCTAGTATTCAGAGATAATCTCTTGCATCTCTGTGGCATTTGTTTTTATTTCTCCTTTATCATTTCTGATTGGGGTTACCAGAGTTTTTACTTTTCTGTTTTTAGTAAGTCTGGCCAAGGGTTTATCTATTTTATTTACTTTTTCAAAAAATCAACTTTTTGTTTCGTTAATTTTTTGAAATTTTTTTTGTTTTCAATTTCATTAATCTCTGACTTAATTTTGGCTTTTTCTTCTGTTTGGTTTAGGGTTAAATTGTTCTTCTTTTTCCAAATCTATGAGGTGGTTTGTTTTTTGAAGGTAGGCACCTAGCATAAATTTTCCTCTCAGGACTGCTTTTACTGTATCCCAGAGTTTTTGGTAACTTGTGTCTTCATTGTTGTTGTGTTTGAGGAAATCAACAAATTCCTCTTTAATCTCTTCCTGGACCCAACTATCATTCAGCATAAGGTTGTTCAGTTTCGAAGACTTTGTGTGGGGATGAACAATTTTGTTGGAGTTGAGCTTCACCATTATGAAGCTTTGCGGTCTGAGAAGAGACATGGTATAATTTCTATTCCTTTAATTTTGCTGAAGTTTGATTTGTATCCTAGGATGTGATATATTTTGGAGTATGTGCCATGAGCTGATGAGAAAAAAGTATATTCTTTTACATTGGGATGGTGTGTCCTATATATGTCTATTAATCCCATTTGATCTAGGGTCATGTTTTTAAGTCCTTTGTATCTTTGTTTAGTTTCAGTTTACAGGATTTGTCCAGTTCTGTCAAAGGGGTGTTGAAGTCTCCAGCTATTGAGGTGTTATGGGATATGAGATTGTTCAGACCCTTCAAGGGGGTTTTTCACAAACCTGGGAGCATTTAAGTTAGGTGCGTAAATGTTTAGTATTGAGATGTCTTCTTGTTGAATTGTTCCTTTACCAGTATGAAGTGTCCATCTTTGTCTTTCTTAACTAAAGTTGTTTTGAATCCACTTGTGTCTGAGAATAGGATTGCAACCCCTCCTTACTTCTGAAAAAAATGGGGATTAATTAAACTGAAAAGCTTCTGTACAGCTAAGGCAACAACAAACAAAGCAAATAGACAACCTACACATTGGGAAAGGATATCTGCATATTTTAATTCAGACAAAAGCTTGATAACTAGGATCCACAGAGAATTCAAATTAATAAACATAAAAAGAAGCAACAATCCCTTAGATCACTGGGCAGAAGAGATGAATAGAACCTTCTCTAAAGAAGACAGATGAATGGTTAACAAATATATGAAAAATGCTCACCATCTCTAATTATTAGAGAAATGCAAATCAAAACCACCCTGAGATATCATCCAACCCCAGTGAGAATGCCCCACATTACAAAGTCTCAAAGCTGCAGATGCTGGCGTGGATGTGGAGAAAAGGGAACACTTTTACACTGCTGATGGGACTGCAAACTAATATAACCTTTTTGGAAGGTATTATGGAGAACCCTCATTAGTCCTCCAATCCCATTGCTGGGCATCTACCCAGAAAAAAAAAAAATCCTTCTACTACAGGGACACTTGTACTAGACTGTTTATTGCAGCTCAGTTTTACAACTGCCAAAATGTGGAAACAGCCTAAATACCCACCAACCCAGGAATGGATTAACAAGCTGTGGTATATGTACACCATGGAATACTATTCAGCCACTAAAAAAGAGGGAGACTTTACATCCTTTGTATTAACCTGGATGGAAGTGGAACACATTATTCTTCATAAAGCATCACAAGAATGGAGACATAAGAATCCTATGTACTCAATTCTGATATGAGGACAATTAAGGTCCTAGTACACAGTGGGGGATAGGGAAAGCTGAGAAAGGGAAGGAGGGAGGGAGTAGGGGAGGTCAAGGGATGAGGTACACCTTTGAGGGGTGGGACACAAATATAAGAGGGTCCTTATCTAACAAAAGCAATCAACGTAACCTGGTTCTGTGTACCCTCAAAAAATCCCCAACAATTAAAAAGAATATATATGGAAGGGAAAATAATTATATCTATATAAATATAAAAAGAAATTCTCTTAGCAATTACTCTCATTAAAAACATAGTTTTCTAACCTGTTTTGATAGTCTTTCATTCTGACATCAAATATTGAGTTAACATGTAAACTACATATTATTCAGATACTCAGCCCCCCCCCCAGTGTTTTAATTCCTTTCCTTTAGCCATTAATAAAATGATTTAACTTTAAAAAATATATAAAAAAATAAAATCACAAGGAATAATATTTCTTAAAATGGGGAGTAGCAAATTATAAATTCTTATTTAATAATGGTACCTTTTTAGAAATCAAGACATTTAGACTTCTTTCAGAACACATAAAGGGGAACTACAAAATGCTTCTTACATCACCAACATATTTGAACCCCAGGAGAATCCTTAATATATAAAAGCCACTTGTACTGTGGAACAAATCCAGTCTTGGAAACCAAGGAGAATGACTTAACTTTCTACATGTGTCTCTCTATGGAATCAGACAATTTCACATTTTTATTAAAAGCCTAGAAAGTTTTACTCTTGTGTGGACATTCTGGCTGCTGGGCACACTGTACTGACACCAGTAACAAAAATGACTTAATTTCGGATGACCTTTTTAAAGTATTTGAGCCAAAACGTTTATGAAGTATTTTTATTTCATATGAATTCAAATGTGGGCCCTTTGTGCCAAGATTTAGACTACACCCTACGGCAGCACTAGCCTTGGCATTTGGGAAGTGAAATGACAGCCTTCCTTCCAGATTCTCTGGTTCACAAGACTTTCTCACTACTTGTTTAACAGTCTCATTCTTTTTGTTAGAGTTTTTGGGCCTATTTTTAAAATGTCATTCTCCCCACCCTCATTGCAAAGGTTCATTTCAACACATGGAATATATAGAAAGTATAAAGAAGAAAATAAACGTAAGCAGTTACACATTTATTTATCAACATTTTGCTATAGCATTTTCCTGCTATCAAAATCTGTTTGATTTCTAAATTCCAATATAAACTTCTTTTTCACCTAAGTGTAAAAAAAGAAAAAAAAAAGGAATGAAACTTAATCATTGTGAATCTTGGGTGTGGAGAAGAGCTTGGATAGAGAGGAGTACCTATTACTTACTACGTAGCCCTAAGAGTCTGCAGGTAGCTAAAATGCCATACAACAAAATGACATTACTGAAAAAATAATGTATCAATTTTCACAAAACGATCCTCATATTTTTCAGTAGGAAAGGCTATTAGGTTAGACAACGTAAAGTTTCAGTTTTTTCTGCTAACATTTCCTTTCTCTTACTTTTCTTTTAATTTCTACAAGTGTGGACCCATATATTTTTTGATATAACATCCTTAAAATACACCTAAGGACTGCTGCCATAAAATGCTTCTTTGTAACTATAGCTTAGAAGAACACATTTAAAAGATCTAAATACCACACTATTCAAAATTTAAAGTCAGAACTTTTTTGTCCATAATATAAATCAATATAAATCAGATGTTCAAGTATATATACTTTTTTTAACTGTTACAAACAAAAATAAAATCACAGTGAAGCCAACCCCTGCATTAGCAAGAAAAGTACAAATTTTGCTTTCTTTTGTAAATGTTCAAGTTTCTTTTTAAATCCCATGGATGAACAAGGAAGCCAGATCCAAGGAAGCCAGATCCGGTTTCCCATAGAGGAATCAATCCAGACAGAAATAGTCATGTGAGCACAGGAAATCTGTGAGCACCTGAACAAGGACAGGCAATACCAGGAAGAAGGACAACATTACTACCATGCTCTTTCATGTTTGGCCCCAGTATGGACTTTTAAAAACAAGCTAATCAGTGCAAAGTAAAATGTAACAATTTGTTTATAATAAGAAAAAAACCACTCTACTCATATGTATACATATGTAACTAAAACCGAAACTTAATGCATATAGGAATCCCAACAATGAAAATCCAAATTTACCTTTAATTCTAACCATTATCCTACAATAGTAACATTATTAACATCTCTCTCTCTCTCTCTTTCTCTTATTTAATGAGCACAGCCCATTGGCGTATAATGCTACACATTGAGAAGTGTGTAACGTATTACTCAGACTCTTTAGTGTCAGAAAGCAAGAGTTCCATAAGAACCTTACTCTTGGTAGAATTTAGTAGAATAATATAAATCCGAAGGACTTGGATTACATAAATTGAAATTGGGTACTATTTCTTGAAGATTTGAGAACTAATACTTTTATAACCCCTTCTTTCATGTTAGTCATGTGTGTAATGGGGAGAGAGAAGGTAAAAGGGGATGGGAGAAGCAGCTTAAGAAAGGAAAGAGGAGTAACACTCAAACATTCCTTGCATCTACCCATCATCTACAGCACTCAACAGTACGTTGGTTTTTAAAAAATAAAAGAACACTTGTGAAAGATGTCAATATCCAGTGTAAGCTTTGTGTACCCCCAAACCATCAAGACTACATCGGAAGTAGTATGAGTTTCAATACCCGCATTAGCAAAGGTCTGTGCCACATCTAGATAGTCACGCTTTCCCACTATAGATTTAACACTGAAAACATCAAAAGATACAGGTTTATTAAAGAAGGTAATTAGTCAGTTCCTACCTCCACATAGTCCTTGGCATGGCCCCAATCTCGTTTGGCATCCAGATTTCCCAGACTGAAGCATTCCAGTTGTCCAAGGTAAATCTTAGCTACTGAACGGCTAATTTTTCGAGTAACAAAATTAGCTCCTAAAAAGAGGCAAAAGATGTATTATCAGCAGAGTACATTTGACATTTATAGTATGGTGAACCAAGCCCAATCTCAGCCTTGGGCATTTTTTACTCTCCTGCCATAAAATAATAAAAGCAAAGAAAAAGAGAAAAGATCATTAACTGTCATTTAGACAAGTTAAGAAGCTTTAATTCTAAGTGTCACATCAGCTCTACTTCCATAACAAACATTTTTCTTTGGAGGACGTCTTAACATTCCTAATTTGCTGCTTCAATATGTAACCCAGGCATTAGGCCAAAGAAAAGTTGTCAGATTGCCAAATTTTAAACAGAATATTCAAAGGGTTGTATAAAGGGAAATGCCAGAATGGACGACAGACATTTAAGACCACCCTGATTTTTTTTAAGAACACAAACACCATAGATTCCTATTAATAAAGCTATTTTGGGGCTCAAGGATAAAAAGGGAGAAAGTAGCTTAGTTCACAGGGTATAACTAGTTAAAGGAAACAAAAAAGTTAAAGGATTTTTTTGAGTTGCCCTTCTGTCAAAATAAGTGGGGATCATTCTTATTTAGAAACTACCATACAAATAAAAAGTATGACATGCTGGCTAGTCAAGTTTCTCTTTTGCAATGCTATCCTTATTGCAATACCATCTTCTAACTGTACTGCTATTCACAGAAATGGCTGTTGAATATTGTACACATATTTTGAAATGATAGATGAAAGGTGGTGGACACTGAAGAAAGTTCAAAACCCATTTTCTTATTCTCTGGTCTTCAATGAAAACCTCTCTGTATTTTCATAAGATTATAAAATTTAAAGGTACTTCTGAAAGAATTTTCTCCAAGCCTCTATACCTAGGTAAGGTTATCAGAGAACCATTAAGGCCACATTCTTGAGGCAATAATACATACATGAGCTAGATAAGAATGGCTCCATACAGTTTAGGAACATTAATATAATTCATCACATACCAGCAATTTTACCTTTGTTCTTCTGCAAATGAAGCAGGGAGGCAAAAGTGAGGTGAAAACTTTTGACTATGGAGTACTGGCACAGGAATAAGGAGGAATATAGGTTTTCTAAATTGGGGCAAGAATATGACCTAGCACATGTTCAAACACATATCAGATTGATCTAATACACAAACTCAGTATATACATCTATACCAATGTCATGTCATTAAAAAAATACAATGGGACTACCACGGGAATCCAGATTTTCAATTTCCCTTATCAATTCATTGGGTACATTAAGAAAGCCAAAATTTCTGCTTTCCACACAAGTTTATAAAACCTACAGAGGTACTTTTAAAAAGAGCTTTTCAAAATGAAGAAATACTTACTAAACACAATCTTAGTAACAGGTATTACTAATTGGTATTTTTTAAATTTTCTATTGACTCCTAACAGTCAAATTTAAATATGTAAGTAAATTTAGGGTTTTTGAAGGTTATCTTTCTTTCAATGTCAGGACTATATTATTACCCCAAAGTGTACTAGGTAAACTAGTAGTGATGCCAAATTATTATCTGAGGTTCCCAACACAAAATAATTCAGATTAACTTATTCACAGCAATCTAATGTTTAGAAGTTGCATAAAAGCATCTAGCTTGTTCCTACAGTTTATTTATTCTTTCTCCCAGTATTAACTGAGCGAACAAACACCAAACACTGAGCTGGACATGGGGGATCTGGGAATAAACAAGCAGCTTCTGCTCTCAGGTATCATACAGAGGGGCAGGTGGGCAAATAACCCAGTGCTGAACCCAGTAAAATGACTGGTTTGCAGGGAGGAAAACACCTGGGGCTTGTAAGGTGGTGGACACAGCCCCTGAGAAATGACCACTGGAAAAGGAGCCTGAATTGAATCTAACACTGAGGGGATTAATCAAGCTGTGAAACAGGATGGCACCCCAGGCAGAAGGAACACCAAGGGCAAAGACGCAGAAGGGCCTTTCTGGTTTAAACCTTACCACAACCTTCCTATGATTACGGCACATCCAATGATGGCTAACCCTGTGAGCACTGTGCTAAGCTCTCCAGATGAGGTAACATTTAATTTTCAGAGCAATCCATGGGCTAAGAACTATTAATACTCTCATTGTGTACATGAAGAACCTGAGGTTCAGTGAAGCTACATAAACTGGCCATTCTAAAACAGGATTCAAATCAAGATCTACATGACTGACTACAAAGTCCAGCCTCCAACACTGTCAAAGCTCCAATGTCATGCTACAAATATGTATCCTTTCTTATCTGTATCCAAAAGTTCTTGGATAACAAGCCAAAATTAAATAAAATTTCTAGTTTTTAAAATTTAACTATTACTTAAAACAGCTATATTGAGATAATTCACAAACTATACAACTCATTTATTTAAAGTACATACGTCAATAGGTTTTAATATAGTCACAGAGTTGTACGCCCATCACCATAATCAATTTTAGAAAATTTTTATCACCCTAAAGAGAAACACTGTACCCTTTAGCAGCCACTCATCCTTTTTTCCCATGCTCCATAACCCTAGGCCACTGCTAATCCACTTTTTATCTCTATAGATTTCCCTATTCTGGACATTTCATATAAATACAGTCATATAATATCTGATGTTCTATGACTGGCTTGTTTCACTTAGCGTAACATTTTCAAGGTTCATCAATGTTGTAGTTTGAATCAGTACATCACTCCTTTTCTTCATAGCCAAATAATATTGTATCGTATGGATATATCATATTTTATGTATCCGTTCATCAGCAGATGAACACATGGGCTGTTTCTATCTTTTGGCTATTTTGAGTAACACTGAGCATTATGTACAAGTTTTCTGTGACCATGAATTTGAGGGGGGTACATATTAGTGCCTAATGGTAGAATTACTGGCTCTTATGGTAACTCTATGGTTAATCCATTGATGAATTGTAGATTGTTTTCCAAAGTGGCTGCACCACTTTACATTCCCAGCAGTAAAATATAAGTCCGATTTTGCACAGCCTCCTCAAACTTGCTATGGTCTTTTAATCTGTAATCATCCTAGTGGATACCTAGTGGTATTTCATTGAGGTTTTGATTTGCGTTTCTCTGATAACTAATAATATGGAGCATCTACCTTTCCATGTGCTTATTAGCCATTTGTATATCTTATTTGGAGAAATGTCTATTCAGATTCTTTGCCCATTTTTTAATTGGTTTAGTCATTTTTTTTTACAGAGTTGTAAGTTCTTTATATATTCTGTATCAGACATATAATTTGCAAATATTTTCCCTCATTCTGAAGTTGCCTTTTCACTTTCTTGATATGCCCCTTTGAGGCATAGAAGTTTTTTTTTTTTTAATTTTGATAAAATCTAATTGTCTATTTTTGTAATTGTAGAATGTGCTTTTGGTGTTATATCTAAGAAGTCTTTGTTAACCCAAAGTAATGATGGAGATGTGCCCCTATATTTTCCTTTATGAGTCTTATAATTTTTGTTCTTACATTTAGATTTTTGATCCATTTTCAGTAAATTTTTGTGAATGGTATAATGAAAGGGTCCGACTTCATTCATTTTTATGTGTATGTCCTGCTGTTTCAGTATTATTTGTTGAGATGATTGTTCTTCCCCAATGAACTATCTTGGTACCTTTGTCAAAAATAAATGTGAAGGATAATTTCTGACTTTCAATTCTATTCCACTGATCTATGTCTACCATTAGGACATTGAAACAGTCTTGATCACTGAAGCTTTGAGGTAAATGTTAAAATCAATGAGGGTTTTCCAACTGTATTCTTTGAAAAGATTGCTAGAGTTATCCTCTGTGCCTTGAATTTCCCTATGAATGTCAGGATTAACGTGTTGATTTCTGCAAAAATGCTTACTGGAATTTTGATAGAGATTATGTTAAATCTGAGCAATCTAGGGAGCATCTCCATCACAACAGTATTATATTTTCAAACCTATAAACACAGATGTCTTCCCACTTATTTAGGCTTTTAAAAATTTCTTTCAACAATGTCTAGTACTTTTCAGAGAATAATTTTAATTTGTTCCTAAATATTCTTTTTAATGTTACTATAAATGAAATTATTTTCTTAATTACACTTTCAGATTAATTTTAAACATTTTAGCAATTATATGTTTCACTAGTTAATTTTTAGGAGAGGCTTAAAATGATTCTTTTTAAAATTTCACTCCCATTTTTACTCCATGTTAACACAAGACTGTTTTTAGCAGAGAATTACATAAAGCATATAATATGAGGGATGGGAGCACAGAGGAAACTGCCCAGCTATAGAAAATGAGAGGCACAGAGACACTGAGCCCTGGCCCAAGGCAGGACAATCTGGCTTATAAAACATGGGATGTTTCCTAAGCCACAGTAGAATGCAGGCAGAATCCCTCCTCTGTTGAGATGACCTCAGTGGTTATAAATTACAACACATACAGATAATGTAACCCCCATAATTATTTAAAATAAATACTTGCTTTCTAAGAACCATAAACTATAAGCCCCTAGTTAGATAGAGGACTAGACTAAGAAGGTTAGCCTTATCAACTGCAGTAGGCCAGCTCTGTCAGTTACTAAACTGCGCTATCTTATACAAACCATTTAACACACCTGAAGTTACAGTCTCCTTTGTAAGCTACTTGCATATTAATACTTGCCATGCCAAACCACAGGGTACACTAATGTAGATGAAATGGCATGGTAGAACATAAATTGCTACAGAAATGTAAAGAATATCATCATGTCCTTCCTTGTAAAATAAAGATAATAATGGTAATTGACAGGTAGGTTTGATGTTTAAAGGAGAAAATCCAAGTAACAATTGTAGCAAGATCTGATAAATATTAATTAACCATTATTAAAATTATTACATTAAAATGTCAATGGTTATCTATAATTAAGTCTCAATGAAAAGTTAAGATTTTTTAGTTCTTTTATGACTATGTCTCTTAATTCTCTGATTTTAAAAGTCTGCGACTGAGGACAAAGATTGTAAGTAAACAGCCACTGCCAAAAGCAGGCATGT